TATTTACTTAGATAATATTTTTTAAAAAACATTTTTTGTTTTTTATATAATGTTGTTGATTACCGTCGAGTCAATGATGGCTCATAGCGACCCTCTAAACAAAAGACCAGAAGTCTTTCTATAACTATTGACATTTCTCCAAGTTCATAGAATTTCCAGAGGCATGTGATTTAGGAACTGAATTCCACTCTGCCAAACACTGTCCACCATGGGCAACCGTTATGGCATTTGACACCCAAATGGAGTTCTATAATAACTTTTTTCCTAAAATGGGAACAAATATGGTTTGTTTATATGATTATATTGTTTATATGATTAACAGCTTCTAAAAACTCACTGGTCAGGAATGACTTGACAGTACATTGACAGCTAGTCAGTTGGCCTGGTAGCTGTCTGCCAGATTTCTTGATATATATCCAGGGAACATGTCCAGGGCTGCATCTGTTAGTTGAAACATGGCAATTTGGTATTCCATCAATTCTTGGGGCCTTATTTTTTTTGCCAGTGCCTTCAGTGCAGTTTGCACTTCTTTCTTCATTACTCTTGATTACTTGTGATCATGTGGTACTTCCTTAAACTGCTCCATTGCCAACTAGTTCTTTTTGGTACAGTGACTGTGAAATCCTTCCATCTTCCTTTGATGCTTCTTGCATCATTAAGATTTTGCCCACGGCAAAACTTTCCATATTGCAACTCGAGGCATTAATTTTTCTTCAGCTCTTTCAGTCTCAGGAATGCAATACGAGTTCTTCCCTTTTGATTTCTAGCTTCATTTCTTTGCCCATTTCACTATAATACTTTGTCTTCAGAGCTGCCCTTTAAAATCATCTATTCATTTCTCTTACTGCATCATTTCTTCCCTTTTTGTTTTGGACCCCACTGGCACCTAACAATAACAACAAGGAATTGGGATGGGGAGGTGGGTAGCCCTCAGGAGCTATCAACTGGCAGGCATGGGAGCTGCTCTTTGTGCTCTGTCCCTGACCGCACAGTGGCTGAAGGAGCCTTCCAAAGACCTGGGATAGAACCATGAGTTAGATCAACAACTCATCAAAGTTTGAATCCCAGCTGGGTGGACTTGGACAAATGTTCCAATCTGTCTGGGCTGGTGCTCCTCTGTAAAAATGGGGTTAATGTCAGGATGGTAAAAAACAATAAGCCAGATCTCAAAAATTTAAATATCCAACCCCTCCCTTTGTTCCCAGATTTCACCCCATCCTGTATGCCCTTTCATTCAGCCCTTTGCCAAGGTATGTTCAAGGTTGTAGGTTCCTTTTTCAAACATTTTATGGAGTAGAACCTGTGCTCCATTCAGGGAGACCAGATGTTCCTCTAGAAGGGGTCACAGGAAGTCAGGTGTCCAGGCAGATACCTGGGAGTACAGGATGAGCTGTCAGTGGTAGCCCCTTCCTCCCATCATTTCATGAATTTTGTGGACCCTAGGCATAGACATATGCTATTGTGAATTTTCTTTAGTAAGTAATTTTGTTCCAGTTAAGACTTGTTGTTTTTGTTAAGTGCTGTCGAGTAAGCACACGACTCATAGTGACCTGATGTGCAAAAGACTTGAACCCTGTTGTATAACTCAGAGTTCTTCTTTGCCTCATGTCACTCATTGTTAGAGTGATCTAGTTTAGAGAAAGTTGACAGGGAATCCCTTTGGCTTGTAGTAATTGGGTGGCACAAATGGTTAACAGAATGAATTATAAAAACTTGGAAGTTGGAATTAAACCAGAGGCACCTCAGAAGAAACAACCTACTTTCAGAAAAAAATCGGTTACTGAGTTGCTGTGGAGCTCAGTCTTACTCTGGCACACATGGGCACCCTTGAGTCAAAATAGACTCAACAGCAACTAGAACCAGAATAAAGACATCAGGCGGGGAACAGTGGAGGGTCAGAGAAAGAGAGGAAGATCCTCAACAAGATGAATCAACACAGTGACTGTACCAATGAGCCTGAGCATGTTGGACATCACAAGGATGGTGTAGCATTGGGCAAGGCTTAGACCTGTTGTTCATAGAGTCCCTCTGAGTCAGAGTTGCCTCGACAGCACATAGCAACAATCAATGTGGTTCTCAGTCATTTCTAATATGGCTAAGCTACTTCTAGCTATCCTGGTGCAGGCCAGCTTCCAGGGATACCTGACTACTCTCTGTGCTGACACTTCTGATGTGACATAACGGAGTGAGGCTGGAGGCAGACGTATGGCCTAGAGTGCCCTGTACTGAGACATTGTGGGTGGTGGAGAGGATCAGGGTGTGAGATGGAAGAAGCTAATGTGCAGAAAAGTCTTCCAGGCTTGAGACAGCTAAAGTCATAAGCGGATGCTTTGGTTCCCAATGACCTTGATCAAAATGGAAGTTCTAGCATGTTCTCACTGAAGATGTACATATTGTTATAAACACATGAACATTTTTCTCTCCTCTCTTTTGATGGACATTGGAGGAAATAGAATTTATCAGGATTCCCGTGTTTGTCGAGCAGTAGAGGGGAGAAAAAACATATATAAGTCTAGGAGTGCATTTGTGTGTGGAGTTTCAGATTTTATGCATGAGATCACATTTTAACATATCTGACACATCTTGTCCTGACAAAGTCTGGTGGCTCCAGAAGAAAGAGCAAGCCTGGTTGTCACTGATGCAATGAAATTGCCTGAAGAAAATACACATGTGCACATGCCCATCACAGGGCAAAAGACACAAAGCAAGTGCTCACTAGACAAACACAATGTAAAATGAGACGCCAGAGGCAGAAACAAACCTATCCATCACTTTACATCAATAAATGCAAATAGAGTAAGACTCATTTTGAAAGAAAATCTATGCCCTGCCTTTGTAGCAGGTATCTCTTTTTTTTCTATATTTTATTAATTTTCATAAACATTTACAGAGATTTTGGGTTTCCACTCATTCATTGTTGCACTATTCTCTCTACCCTCCTCCCAGTTTGTTCTT